CTTTCGAAAAATATAATAACTCCACTTCGGTCAAAACTTGCTTCAACCAATGACCGTGGAAAACTCGACTCGTTACAATTTCCCCTGTTTCCTGTTGACCGACTTGGCACAATGTATGATATTTTCGTTCGAAAAGTTTGCAATTTCGAAGTTCAATCGTTAGAGGAAGCTCGAAGCGAGCAAATTATAAGGAATTTGCGAGGAAAAATGTTGCGTGCATTTCTGGGTTAACACCGGATCGGCCAATCAAGGGACCGATCCTCGTTTCTCTGGTTCGAGTGAAATTCTTGGGCGAACCAAGTGTATGCGAAGCGAGTCGAGGCGGAGAGAAACGTCAACTTCGAGGCTAACGTGCGTGCACGATGACATCTATTTTCGAGTTCTCTTTTTTCTTTCTTTTTCCTCTTCTTTTCCTTTTTTTTTTTTTTCGTTTCGTTCGCGAATACAACGATTCCTGGAATTCGTGAAAGAAATCGGTGAAATTCGAGCTGAGTTCCAGAATTGTCGAGTGATTTATTCAAAGAATAAATCAGAGTAGATCGTATTTCAAATGGGCGAATTATCGAAACGAATTCTAAATTAGCAAGGAAGCGAGGGCAAGGGAGGAATATTGGAATGGAATAAGTCGGGGAGGTCAATTGCGAGCGAAGAAAGCATTTTGCATAACGTTCCATCTGTATTAAACGTTGTTACACATAATATGTGTATAACGATTACTAACTCGAGGCGCCATTTATATACGAAATTTTCCCATGAACTTGAACGTAATTTTCCCGTGTACTTGAACGAACGACAATGTGTCGAAGCTCAATATCCGCGTGCGTAAATGCTCGCTTCTAAAAAGTATTATCGCAATAAAGCGTGAAGAGATACGATAGATATTTATACGAGAAGTCAGTTTACGCCGGCTATTTACTCTCTCTCTCTCCCCATTGCATTAACCATTTTCATTGAATTAAATGGATAAAATGAATATTCCTTCGATTCGTAAATTATTGCGACATAGAAATTCAACAACGATTACTTTCAACAAATTAGCTTCGACAAACCTCGGTTAATAAATACAGCTGTACGAGTGTAAACATCATCGTACCATTAATCTCTTCTTTATTCCAAACATAATTCGAAATTCTCTCATTATCTTGTAATAATATATATACACAACTACCGGATAAATAAAATTTTTCCTCCTCCATATTATTTTAAAAACTGTGAAAAAAATAACGATCAA